GGGCAGTGGGAGTCTCTCTTTGTGGAAGGAAATAATAGGAGTGGACGGTCCATGTCGCTACGGAATTTCAGGTGCGTTGTCTGCCTGCTGGCAGCTGCTGAGCTGTAAGCAGAACAGAGCCATGGTAAGATTGGCCTGCAGTGGACTGGGTTTTGGGGGCTGCGGTGAACGGGATTGCTTTGAAGCTGTTTCAGTAACCAGCCATGGAAGAATGAGGTCTTGGACCAAGGCAGTGGCCGTGCAGAAGAATTTGAGATTCTGGTGGTAGGATCAGTCATCTGTCATGTCCCCTCTGGCCATCCCTGGTGGGGGTCCAGTCATGGAGTTCGGTGGCAGAAGGGTAAGCCTCAGCTTGGGCCACGTGGACTCTGAAGTACTTCCCGGGGGGAGATACGTGGTTCTAGAATGAAAGAGTCTTCAGAGCAAGGCTGCCCTAGAGATCTGGGAGCCATTGGCATTGGGGAGGAGGAGACTGCCCAGGTGGAGGGCATGGAGGTAAAGGGAAGCTGAGGAGGGCCGTCTGGAAGCACCCACACGTAAAGAGCCAGTGAAGGAGGCTGAGGACCAGACGTTCCAACTAGAGGAGGCAAACCAGAAGTCGGTGTCACGGACGGATGGATGAGTTAGGAAAGGAAGGAACCATCAGCGATGCCAGATGCTGCCCAGAGGTCAAGTTAGATGGTGGCCTGGGCAGTGGCAGCTTCCGCCCGGGGCTGGCGATGGAGCCAGGTTGCAGTGGTCAGGAGAATGGAGGAACAGTCCAGAGAGTCCCTCCTGGGACCCACTGGAAATGGAGGTTGGCCAACAGCTTGACCGAAGCAGCGTTGGCCGAGCATCTCCTGGGTGCCGGTCACCACCCTGGCTCTCTTAACCTGTTACCCAAAGAGAACGTGAAGATCGTGGAGAGAGTGAGGGTACAAAGCAAAAGGATACATGGTCCCTGTTCTGGAAGAGGTAGAAGCTTGTGGGGAGGCTGGTGGGGAGATCTGTTCCGTTGCCACGTGGTGTGGCTATCCCCATGGCAGAGCTATGCCGACGGCACCTGAATCCCAGTCCGGTCTGCTCTGTCGACCTCGTCCGTGGCACCGGGAGCTGTGCGGGTAAAGTGAGTTACCAGATGGGACTGAGTGGCCCGTGGTCCAGGTGTAGCCGCAACAAGGAGGGTACGGACGGGGGGGGGAGGCAGGCCTGACTCCCACTGTCACCAGACGTTGTTCTTCTTGTTCAGCGTGAATGATTTAAAAAATAGAGCAGAAATTGGGCATCATGCCAGGGTTTGATGAAGTCTTATTTGGGACAATCGGAGAATCTTATTTTTATCACTAATTAAAGGGGGCCATTTACAATAGGAAATCTTAAATTCGTGGAGAAAGGAAATGTGCAACTCACTTTTCTTGTTGCTGAAGTTCTTGAATAAACTTTTTAGTGGAAGGACGGAAATACGTATATGAAAGTATAATTAAGACTGGTTTAAAAAATGATCCCAAAGTCATCACTCACATCAAGTAGGGGCCACCACCAGCCGCCCAGAAGCCCCTTATGCCCTGATTGTAGATAGATCTTCTGTTATCCAAGTAAAATTTCCCATTTTGTGGAAGAAGTGACTTTTAAAACAACATGGAGCATTAGTACAAAATATCTGGATGCTAATGAAATTGGTTAGCAGTGTTGGGTGAAAGAGCGAACGTTTCACTGTATGGTGGTGACACTATTTAGGACTTAGGTGAAGCTCATGTCACCAAAATTGAGAAAACAGCACCTCCCAGTGATAACGATTCCAGATTCTCAGCTCAAGTGATTGTGTGTTATTCATTTATTTACATCCATGTATTTATTTAAAACATGTAAGATATTTTACTTGTTGAATGAGCAAATGTAGATAAGAACTCGATAGTTAAAAATTGCCCAACCACTATAATCTGGGGTAATACATGTTTTAAATCTTGTTAACATTTCAGTGTTGTAAACATCATGAGTACTTAATGATTTTAGTTCAGGAGAGCAGTGCCTCCCTCTGACATCCCACTGCCTGCAAGTTGTTGTGGGGGAGGGAGACTCATCCATCCGTCCCTCCATTTGTCCCTCCCTCCCTCCCTCCCTCCCTCCATCGCTCCCTCCCTCCCTCCCTCCCTCCCTTCATCCATCCATCCCTCCCTCCATCCATCTATCCATCCCTCTGTCCATCTGTCCATCCGCCCATCCCTCCCTCCCTCCCTCCCTCCCTCCCTCCATCCCTCCCTCCCTCCATCCCTCCATCCATCCCTTCCTCCATCCATCCATCCCTGTATCCATCCATCCATCCATCCATTCTAGCTATCCTGGGGGCTGGCTCCTTTGAATTCACCCTGGCTTTAACAGGGTCATCCGAGGGATGGACCATGGCACCATCTTAGCAGGCAGTGGTCATTCTAGCCTTTGCACACCTGAACGATTCATCTTGGAAGGTGTTAAAGTGAGGCACACAGATGCCAGCCCTCAGGTCACATCCTTGGGGCATTCAGCAAGTAACAACGCAGCAGTTAACTGGAGGGGAGACACTGTTTTTCACTCTGGTGGGGAGGATGGCCACACCTTATAAGACAATCACTTCGTCTTCCCTTTCCCCTCTTGCTGTTCTTATTCTTGAGTCACATGCTTTCATTGCTCATCATTAAGTTTTCCCCTACTTTTATGGGTTATCCTATGGCTCTAAAGCAGTCTATGTTTTGTTTTGTTTTTAAGATGTATTTATTTATTTATTTTATTTGAGAGAGAGAGAGAAAATGTGAGTGGGGTGAGTGACAGAGGGGGAGGGAGAGACTCTTAAGCAGACTCCATGCCCAGCGCAGAGCCCAGCAGTCTATGTATTTTAGAACAAAATATTTGTAAATTATTTTCTTTTGCCAATTGTTTATCGAGTCAGGAAGACAAAAATTATGGGGGAGATGGGAAAATGGAACAAACATGAATAAAAGTTCTAATAAAGTAAAAGCAAGATACTACAGTTCTTAGAAATTGTCACTTCGGTTTATGTAATTAATGTGGTAGAACAATTAGAATTTTAGTACTTAATGTGCGGCTCATGCTTCATACAGCTGTTTGTCGCTCAGGGAGAAGCCTCACTGTAAAATCGTTCTCTTTGGCCATGAGCTCACTCCCTCCAGCCTCCGACCAGGAGAGGTGGAATGCTCACTTGCACTTGGAATTTCATAAAATGAGGATTTTATAACACATTTGACTTGTCCTAGAAAGTTTCTCAAGTCTCCCCTTCGTGTAGAAAACATCTATAGATGTTTCTGCAGAACTCTCCGAACAGCCTGGCCGTGTTCCATTCTGGCTCTTGGTGCTCTCTGCAAGCTTGAGGACTCTAGTGAGCCTGGTCATCCAGCAGAATAGCAGCTCTGAGGCTGGGAGTAAAACAAAAATGCCTCTGCGTTGATCATCAGAAACCCCATTTCGCTCCCTCCCCTCAATAAAAAGAAGAAGTACATTGGCAGTCACCCCCACAGTCGTGACTTTGGTCTTCGGATTTCACTTCGCCTGCATGGCCCATGTTTTGCAGCTGTTGGAATCTGAGCTTAGATTTTATTTCTGAGTTCACATAATGATTTTTAAAATGTTCTAATATACGTCTTCAAAGACCCCAGATCGATACGCCAATGGTTTTGAAATGACAGAATGCTGCGATATTCCTCTGTAATTTAAACATGATTAGCTGATGAAGCTTGTGATCAATACACTGCGGGAAGATAAATTAATTGATATCATCCTTTCAGGATCAGAGGCCCATTGGAGGCGGGATGTAACTAATGAAGCTGCCGCTTCATCTCTGAGAGCCATTTTTTACATCCTGCATTTTCGCTTCATCATATTTACATGATCATTCATTTATAGGAAAGCCATAAGCTGTGGACAGACCGGTTCCCTATTAAAATTTTGTTCATTTGGAAAAGAAACTGCGGACATTGTGTGCACTGCCTCTGTGTTAGGGCCTATCACCGGGGACAACGGTGTGTTCTTTGCACGACGTCTTTAAAATAGCGGCTCTCGGGACCAAGACAAGGATTGAATACTGTTGAACTTCATTACAGCTGGTCCCCAGAGACACACATCTCTTCAGACAAAAGCTGCAGTCCTTCTGCAGTGACACCTATTGGTGTGGGAAGAGTTTTCTTATTGTGGACTTCCTTTCCAATTAAATGCAGCGTGCTTTATCAGCGAGCCCATTTGCCAAGAGAAGTTATGGCTGGTTGAATTTAGATTTGTATTGATTAAGATAAACTTCCAATGTGTGTAGTAATATATTTAAATAAAGTCTTTGTTATAATTACATGTCCTTGGCTATAATTCTATGCAGCAGCTTATAAAGTTAAGAGTAATTCTTTAGGCTGTGCAAAAGATAGATTTTTGATTTTCAAGGGGGAGGGGGTTGGGTAAATTACCCTATCTCATTTCAGATTATTTTTGCTGCAAGTAACTGGAAAAAATCATAACGTTAGAATAATTTGAACAGGACAGGTGTGTATTTTTGTTTTGTTTGATGGTCAAGGCTTCTGAGGTGGTCTGGGCAGGGCTGCGGAGGCCATTGGTGGAGCCGGAGGGCCGCTCCTTCCTGCGTGTGCCCCACCCCGTGTGGCTTCTGTCCCCAACACAGCTGCAGAGGCGTGGCTCACACCTGTGCCTTTCCAGCAGCAAGAAAGGAAAAGGTGGAAGGAAGAAATGGGCCAAGGGCCCTCTCCAGGAAGGTTCCTGGAAACTGCCACGTGAGCCCTCGACTGGCATCCCCCCGGGCGGCGCTCGCCTGCATGGCCGCACTTAGCCGGGGGGCAGGAGAACAAGGTGGAGGCGGCTCCGGGAAATGCCATGTTTATTCTGGTGGTCCTGTGCCCAGCCCAGAGTCAGGAGCTCTGTTACTGTGGAGGAAGGGAGTAGTGGACCGCGGGGACAGCTAGCAGTCTCTGCCACATTCCCTGTGTTTGGAACCAGCCTCACATGGATCCCTTTTGTCTCCCGTCCACTAGTTGCCCAGAAGATTGTGGCCACAAGGAAGAAGCAGCAGCTGTCCATCGGGCCCTGCAAGTCGCTGCCCAACTCCCCCAGCCACTCGTCTGTGTGTTCTGCCCAGGTGTCCGCCGTTCACATAAGCCAGGTACGTGGGGCGGATCCGGGGCAGGCCGCTCCCAAGGGTGCCCTCAGCCAGTTCTAAGCTGGATCTCTCTTTTTTTTTTCTTTTCAACTTTATAAATAACAGCATGTTGGTAATTGACTTCACATTTCCTTGAGAAACTGCTGTAGCCAAGTGGATTTTATGGGAATCATTCTTCAGCGTTTCCGTCTTCATGCTGCCTGGGTTATGAGGCATGCTGGTTTGGGCAGAGGCTCGAGGTGTGCACCACTGTCTTTGCTGTTGATTTATATTACCCTGCGTCGGTCCTGGTTCGGGTCTGCTCAGGGGTTGAATGGTTGTGGGTAAACCTCAGCGGCTAATCCCACTGTGTGCTTAAATTCGGTAGCAGCCCTCAAGTATAATTACCATCTCCCTTAGGTTACATCTTTCCAGAGTCACAGTCTGGCAAATTATTTACTTGGAAGCAAACAAAATAATTGTCACTTTAAGGAACCAAACCCACAGCCTGCTAAGGAAACCATTGACTTGGTTTGCCTGAGTGTGTGTTTTTAATTAACATTTCTCAGGCAGGCGTTATATTGGACTTTTTAAAAGGCTACAGCAAGACAGTTTGGTATGGCGCTTCCATTTTCCTTGGGGAGGTCAGTAAGTGATGGCATTCCCGGTAGGGGCCTGTGAAGGTAGACGCAAGGATGTGGATGTCTCCCCTATAGGCATCTCATTTTCTGTGAACCTTTAAATGTCTTCAAAAGTATTCAGATTTTCAGAGTTTGCATTAGGTTCTGTTGAGACAAACAGCACTCTTTCCGCATCCAATCTAGAGCCGTGAGGGAGCCTGAGAGCCCATTTAGTTCAGCCAACCCCTGAATTTTTCAGAAGAAATAGAACATAATTACATTTTAACTCCCTCCCCCCAATTTTTAAATCAAATGAGAGACCTCTCTTTCTCAAGTCAACTTTACAAGATGATTGGTATGTTCTAGAATGAGGCCATGTTCTGCTTGAGCTAATCAACTAGCCAAGTCAGAGAAGCTACCCGACCTGTCCTGCGGGCCTCTCTTCAGTGTGACTTGCTAACTTGTCACTTATGACCCTGCAGAGGTGGTGGCATCAGGTTCCTGGGGTGTATCGTTAATAAAACTTTGGTTTTCCATCGTTTCAGACCAGTAACGGAGGCGGGAGCTTAAGCGACTACTCCTCCTCCGTCCCATCGACGCCAAGCACCAGCCAGAAGGAGCTGCGAATCGACGTCCCTCCCACTGCCAACACGCCAACACCTGTCCGGAAGCAGTCCAAGCGCCGCTCCAACCTTTTCACCGTGAGTGTCTTCCCTGGAAGAAATCTGAGTGATTTCGGAGAATTTCAGGCACTGTCCATCTACTCGTTGCCAGATGGTTTAGTGTTACTTGTAGAATCCAGATTCAGTTAACGAGAATAGCCCTGACTTCTGTGGAAGTCTAGCAAAACTCTGAGAAGCAAAGGTGTGGGCACTGAGGAAAACGTGAATTTCTCTGTGCGCAGGGAGTCCAGATACGTGTGTCAGAATGAAGAGTGAGGGCCTTACGAAGGTATTTATTATCTCGTGATTGTCCCGGTCTCTAGCGACAGCCTTGTTACTCTGGGTCCAAGATTACAAAACTGTGCCAGAATTCCCAGACGTGTGCCCCTAACCCTCCCCATGGGAGGCATCAGCCGCTTCGGTGCACGGACCCCCCTCTTCTCGGGCTGGGGCGCCTGAGGATTTATCACGGAGAGGGGGGAGGGTGGACTTGGCACCAGGAGCCTTCAGTGTTTCTCAGACGCTCCTCGACACGGGGCTCTCCACTGGACTTTTCTTCAGAGTCGTTTATGGAGCATTTTAAACCTGTAGGTCCTCTCCCTGGGCTTAGGTTTATTAACTCAGAATCTATACATGGGCCCCAGGCATGTGTAGTTTTTAAAAGCTCCCTGGGCAATTGGGGATGCAGAGAACCCCTAAACTAGTGAGGCAAAAGTGCTCTGACCGCATCCCTTCCTGTGCACCCAGCAGACATTACTAATCAACCACGAGACGCTCTGCGCTGAGCCCAGAGCTGCAGGCAGGACTGCTGGCCTGTGACTGGAGTCGTTTGACCTCAGAGGAACGTTTTCCCTCCTGGGCCCAGGCCTGTGCATTACAAGGATTTGCTTTTCAACCAGTGCTTTTGCTCCCTGGGGACACCTGGCAGTTTTGGAGAAATTCTGAGTTGTTACAGCTGGGAGCCAGGTTGAGTCAGGGGTAGCAACGGGGGTGCCGCTAAGTACCCTACAAGCTGAGGTCAGCAATGCAGCACAGTTATGTCGCGCCCCGTTTTAAACCATTGGACTTCCACTTTGGAGTGATTACCGCTGACTCAGATGCAGACGAGTCCAGGATTTCCTGTGTTGAACTAAGGGAGGGCTCTGCAGGGGTGACTGGGAGCCTCAGCTGACCTGCTGCCTTATTTGGAGATGGCATCCCTGGGGTGGTATGTGGCTGCCGAGCGCAGTGGAGCCCCGCGCCGGTCCTACCGTGTTCGAGGCGGTTTTCCCACCGGAGAGTCGTAATTGCCAAGATCTGCTGCCTGCGGACCGTCCCTTTCCTTTGCTGACTGTCCTCTGCCACGTCGGGTCAGACGGACGCTGCTGCTGGGGGTGCAGAGCAGACAGACCAGACCCAGCCCCCAGCCCCCAAGTTGCTTAGCCTCTCTGGGCCGGAAACGGCAGCATTCTCTGTGTGGTGCTGCTGGAAGAATCCCCCGTGGGGGCGAAGGGTCTTTGTGGCATGGATTTCAATTTTGTGTCACCACCGTTGCAACCATGGAAAGGATTTCTGACCGTGCTAATAAGCAAAAGCAGTTGTAGGACCGTGTGACCCACTGGGAGGGAGGTGTTCAGCTTTCTACAAAACGCAGGGGAGTGCGTGATGTGGTTATAAACTGGTACCTGATGTAAGAGGCTTTCTTGTGAAATGATTCACACACCAAGAGTAGCAACAGCTCCCAGCTCGCCCAACACTGGCCGCGCTTGTGTGCACCCAGGCCGGGCCTTGCGGCTGGGCCGGTGTGACCCGCAGAACGGGCTGCAAGCTCACTCGTGACTCGCCGACCTGGGGAACTGACTCGCGGAGGCGCGGAGATGGTTGGCGGTGAGCAGGACGCCAGCGTACTGGGGAGGAGGGAGGGCTCCCGACATGGGCCAGGAGCCGCCTTTATCTTTGCCACACCCGTTAGGGCCTGGCAGGGAGAGAGAACGTGCAGGCTCACCACACCTGCCAGGGGCCGCATGTACTGGTCATCAGCTTTGGTTTCTATTCTGAGGAAGAGGTGAGAAGCCAGGAAGTCTCTTTAAAAATAGGGCTGTTTGGAAAGAGCTGTAGCACATAGCCATTCCTACTCTTTATAAAGTGGCTCTGGAATTGGAATGTGCCAGAAAACATTATCCTGGACCCTGCCCACTAGGTAACCATGACAACCCAGGTTGCATACCAAGGAGAAACTTTAAGGCAAGAAGAATCAAAAGTAATAGTAACTCTGTTAATCAATATCTCCCCACTGCTGTCTGTGGAGACGTTTTCTTGTTTGTCAGGAGTAGTTCTTACCAGAGTCAACCCATATTCAAGACAAAGTGTGTTGGAGAAGAAGGAGGGGCAAGAGGATGGAAGTGAGGCATAAGGGCCTCCCCTCCCCCCGGCTTCTCCAGGCCGAGCATGGGTGCGTGTGTGGCGGGCAGGCATCCGAGAAGAGCCCGGGACCCCCAGTAGCCCGGGCCGGGCGGGGTAGGTGCGGAGCCAATAAAAACTCATCCTTACGGTCACTGAAAATCCCCATTAATTATGTGATTAATGTGTCTAATAATGCAAAAACCTCCCCGTGAACGTGTGCATTCTCACTGCTTACTCTCTTTCTCTTTCAATGTTGGAAAACAGCTTGAGAGTAAAGCATTTTAGAATTGAGTCCAGCCGTGCAGCCGTTCTTAAAGGGAATAGAAATTTGGGGTTATGAAAGAAGCAAACACTACAGTGGGTTTGCATCATGGCATTTAAGGAAGAAGGCTAAAATCCCGGGGCGGGACCCAAATGTGGATCACTGCTGGGCTTGACGTTGAACAAAACAGTGGTGGTGATGTTGATGGTGACGTGTGGGTATTTTTAAGTTCAAGATCTTAGAAATAGGAACTCCACTAGATGTCAGTGTCATCCAAGGAATGAGAAGAGGCAAATTAGTTTTGAGATTGTAGCAATTAAGAAACTAAATTCTCATTATTTCCAGTTTGCTCCTATTCTTAAATATGTAAAATTCGTCGACTCTTCATCCCTGGCAATTGTTGGTAATTACTGGCTTAAATTGGGGAAACGTGTATTTATTCAAAAGCGTCTAGTAGGAGGACAGATGTGCTCTAGGCCGAACAATCTTAGTAAAAAATCCATGCAGACTGGGACTGTAACACCCAGATGAAGGAGCACTATCCACCTTATTTATTAGACCGTCATAAAGAGGCCAGAGTTAATTAAGTAGTACACACATCATTTTTCAAATACTGCACTTATAAGTTTTATAAAATAGACCTGTAATGTACCATTCTGGGCTCACGTTTTGCAGTCCCAGATGTTTATTTGCATATGTGCACATTTTTAGACAAAAATCACATGCACTCTTCACAAATTAGAATAAACTTCAGATTGCTCCCGTAGTAGCAAATTATGTTCTGTTTGCAGTAGGAATTAATCAAAATCTAAATTCTATCTTATTTTGCTCATTTCTTTGGAAAAAAACCATTGTTTTGAGAAAAGAAGTAATAAAAAGCTACATCCTTTTTGGTTTTGTAGTGTGGGTTCTTAGGACAGTTAATTTAGTGTAGTTGTCCTAATGTACACGTGGTTAAATGGTTTTGTTAGAAAATATTTTCATGAAGAGACAGGAATAAAAAACACAGGCACGTACTTACATGGGGCTCATCAAACGCACGCATTTTGCCGCAGCTGCTGCTGCTGCTAAGAAATAACACATCTTGGGTAAAAGTCGAAGCCCTCCAGGTGTGCCTCCTAAACATAGGCACCCCCCCTCCCCTGCCCGGCTCCCTGCCTGAGGATCAGTATCACCTTGAATTTGGTGTTTGTCATCCATCTGCCCATCTTAAGCTTACTCTAGTCACTGGGCACCGCCTTCTTTTCAGACTTTAAAAAAGCAGTGTCATTTACATGATCCTTTGAGAAGCTCCCCCCCGTCATGCCCGCCAATCCCAGTAGACAGAGCCAAGCATACCCAGTAAGCACCCTGTGCAAAGAGCCCTAGAAGCCCACCGTAAAGACAAGGCAGCAAAGCTGATGGTATGCACCGCACCGTCTGTGTTTTGTCTGTTGTGGAGGAGAGCGCGGGTCCTGCCACAGGGTGTCCGAGTCGAAGGCTCGCCGGGGGTTGAAGGGGGAAGGCAGGCTTCTGTGTGATAGTGTGGGCTCCTGGCAGCGTGGCTTCCTGCCCCCATACGCAGGTAGTTGACGATGTGTCCCTCCGTGGCTTCTTGTGTCACGTGGGAGAAGGCAAACCTTCGTGCAAAGGAGGAGGTGATAACGAGGCTGACTTTAACCGTTCTTTCTTCCGTATCCGGGGCTGGCGAGGGTCGCCGTCTCTCCCCTGGCTCGCCGCTGACCCCTGCGCTGAGCGTGGTCCACCCTTGTAGCTTCCAGTCGCGCGCGTCTGGCTGGTCCCCGCGCACTGTCACTTGTGCCCCACGCAGCTGCCGCCCAGCGCCACTGCGTGCGGGAGGATTCCACGGAGCGGTTTCAGCAGAGCCGTGGCATGTGCCGTGGGCGATGTGGTCTCCGGGCTGCCGGAAGACTCGGGAGACCCCACTGCAGATCCCTGCGTGCCGCGGCGTTTCCTGTCCAGGGGTTTGTCTCGGTGCGGTTGTTGGGCACTGCAGCCTGGGGCGCGGGGAGAAGTAATCGAGGGGCGGGGGTGTGGCGGGCCTCTGCCCAGCAGCTGGCCCAACCTTAGAGTCGTCAGGGAATTTCTGTGCCACTTGGGCGGTGAAGTCTTCCTAACTTTCAGGCAGCGTGTGTGGACAGACAGAGGTGGGCTCTCCGGCAGCCTGTTCCCCTGGAATCTGGGAGTCCTGCTCAGAGAACAGAGGGACTGGGGGACAGATGTGCTGCCTTGAGGAAGATGTTCATTTTTTTATGTTTGTTTTGTTAATTATTCTGGTTAACAGAGCATAATGAAGGTGGATTTTCAAATTTGGGAAATTTGGAATTCATCAAATTCCCACAGTCCTATTAATGATCTGTGTTAATTAAAAAAAATTTTTTTTTTATAGTATTGGGAGGCTTGAGTCTTCTTTTACAAAGGGAAACCTCAGGTGCCCATTTGCAGTAAGATATGGCAAAAAGAGAATTGAGGGCTATTGCGTAGCTCTGACTGAACATTATTAATTAAAGAATTAATTAAAGAGAAAAGTGAGCCCCTACCCTATAGCTGAAATTCATGACAAGGAATCAGTCCCTCCCATTTCCTCCCAGCCCAGACGGACAAACTCTGCCTTACATTTTTCTGCAACTTTCGGTTTGTTGCTTTTTCATTTCCCATTACCTCGTTCCAGGCTTTTCTGCCGCCTAAAGAAAAAAAGTGCACAGTGCCTGACACATAGTAGGTGTTCAGTAAGTGTTGGCTCTCACACTCATCAAAGGGGCCTGGTGCCTAATGAGCATACGTGCTCCTTGAAGTGCCACATCTGAGTTTACATCATGGGGACTTTTCTCTCTCACACCCGGTGACGCTGCCCCTTTTAATATTAAAAAAAAAAAAAAGAAAAACCGGCTGCTCCGTCTCACACCCCTTTGAAACTGGATTTCATTAGCTCTTCACTGCAGCACTGGACACCACGACATCTGTGCATTTCATATATCATCTCAGATTTGAAAAGCACATGAAAATATTTCTCCATTTTCAATATTGCGTGAGTAATGTTCCCAATGAAAAGTAATGGAGTGAAGTTGTCACTTGTCAGCACAGTTATTAAGGAGGACGAGTTTCAGATCTTTCTCTCATAATAAAATAAATCTGTCAGAAAATCACTGTGCTCACACTTCCTCATGCCATCCAGAGATGGAGACTGAGCTGGGGTGCTCCTTCCGCTTCCTGAAGTCGCCGTGCGCTCTGGGTCGTGGCTTCCCTGGGTGGCACGTGCCCGCCCCTGGGCAGGTCACACAATGTCAACAACACTGCCTAGAAGACTGTTCTGCGAACTTGGCAGACGGAGCTGCTCATTTTCCCCCAAGTACTGTTGTGTTGTCAAAAAAGAGATTTTTCAACTTTTTTCCCCTTTGTTATTTTTTTGTGGTGTGGTTAACACTAGTTTGACTCTAACCATCCAGAAGCACTTAAAAAAAGAAAAACAATGTTCACGGCACCTTGATACGAATGAAGAGTGCACGGTTAAATTGCTCCTCTCCGTCATCATAGAATTTAAAAATCCTTTAGACGTTAACTCAACATACACCTTTATGGGGTAGGTTTCCCCAACAAGCCGCAAAGAGGCCTTTTCTCCTCGGCTGGATTAGCTGCAGCCTGAGAATGCGCTTTCCTGTTGGGCGTTACTTTCCTATATGGTCCATTGGTTTCTAGTGATTGAATTTTGAGCTCTGTAAAAAAAAGAACTAAAAGGTAATTTTGCGGAGGAAAAGCAGGGGGGAAAGTTTAGAGAATTCTCCGTAAAACGATGGGTCAGTGGAACGAAGTACTCGACAGCTCGCTTCTCGGGTGTGTGCGTGCGCACGCGCCTGCATCATCCATGGCTTCTGGGTAGGGATTCGCAGACACTGTCCGGATGAGGGCAGGCCTGCAGATCCATGAGCCGCAGCCCTTACCCAGACGCTAACTTTATTTTTGCTTTGCAGTCTCGGAAAGGGAGTGACCCAGACAAAGAGAAGAAAGGCCTGGAGAGCCGCGCGGACAGCATCGGGAGCGGTCGAGCCATCCCAATTAAACAGGTACGCTGCTTTCCCCTTTTCTCCCTTCCTGGAGCTGGAGACACACCTCAGGTCTCTCCTTGCTATGATGCTGGCTCGTGCACCAAGGTTTGTTTGATGTGCTCTGTTGATGAATGTAGAAGTCACTCACTTGACATCAATTAGAAGAGGTTCCTGTGTGTATTAAAATAGGATCATTAGAATAAGAAGAGGGAAAAATGTGACAACAGATCTAATGAAGTGCAGTCTGCCCGCTGCATATGGAGTGTGTTTCGAGGCTGAGCTAGCTTCAAAGGCTGCCTTTGTAGCTCGGCTTTGATTGGGCCGCTGCCGCCAGTCGACAGGGGTAAATCAGATCACCGTACAAGAGCCCCTTGTGATCACAGGAATAGCCCGATGTGGCCCTAATTTGCTCTCGCAGACGGACATCTGAACACTGTTTCAGGCTGGTTTGTAACAACGAGGCAATTAGTTGTGATAATCATAGCCGGTGTGTCAGCTGCGCACTCTTGTTTGTAATTTGCTAATGAAGGAATTGTAACTTTGATTAGGTTCGGTTTCATTTAGACCTTATTATATAAAGGAACATTTACAGCTGTAATGTGGGGCCTTAATTAAACTTCCTCATTACACAACAGGACCTGAATTCAAGCATTTGTTTTGGCCTATGTTGCTAGCCTGGAATAGGTTTTCATTAGCCCAGAAACCGGGTACCAAATTACTTTATGTCTCAAGTAAAATGGGAATTCACGTGACGTATTTTGCTGTTATAGTTCCGAGGAAAATAAAAATAAAGACTTCGACCCAGCACTGTGGCTCCTGGAAATAGCATCTTTTACTTTGTGAAAGAAGTCCAGTTGATTTAGAGTGCATTCTGCTTGAGAAAGGGGGAAAAAAAATCTGCGGGCAGGAGAATAGCTCTGCCTCTTAAGAACAGGGCTGTGACCAGTTTGTCCCTCTGGGTGATTGCTCTCTGCCACCCTCTTCTGCAGGCAGGCACCCAGTTTCCCGTGCCCTTCCGCAACTCTGGTTGGCTCCGGCCGCCCTTACAGAGGCTGGCGCCGGTGCCCAAATACAACTTCACCCATCTGGAACCGGCAGGAAGGCGGCGTTAGCCGGGGCTGGGCAGTTTCAGCATGGACGGACGGGAACAGATTGGACAGGGCTCGAGCAGGGGCTCCAGAAACATTCAGATCCCAGGCCACCAACTTGCGGACTGGCTCCTGGTGCCATTGAGAAAAATCCTCTTCCCTCCTCTTTGCTCTCGGGGGTGACGTCTTTGCTCTAAAATGGTTTTGTTACTGTCGAAGTCCACACACGTCATTGCTTATTCTTTTCTTTGTGTGCCTTTATTTATACACCGAGCTGTCTACAGGAGGTGATTTTAATGTGTGATTTTTCTATTGATTCTGTTTCAACTAGAAAGAATTATGAAAATGATTTAACTCCTTTTCTCTCATTTAAAAAATTGGTCCTGGGACATTTCCTTTTGGGAATATTAAAACTTAATTCTCGACCATTTCCTTGATTCATGCCTATTGTCGATTGGGGGGTGCTGCCCTACACACGGGCTGGGCAGGCCCCTGGCGTAATTGGAACCTTCACTCAATTTGTACCCTGCTCATCTGCAGCGGGGGCCTGCCATACAGACTAGGTTTTCAATATGTGTGTCGATTGGAGTTGACCATCAAGCGTAAAATGAGTATTATCCAGTCTTCGGAAGCCTTTCGATTATGAATGTTCAAAATAATCTCGATGAAATCTAAATCATGGTCTGGTTTCCCGATGAGTCGTGGTTCAGGAGCATGCTCAGATCCTTGTCCCTCGTGGCTGCCCCCCACGTGCAGCCACGGGCAGACTCCTTCCAAGAAGTGCACACCTGTCGGATCAGAGTCCCCCATGGCAGAACCTTCCAGGCCTCAGATTCCCCATCTGTGAAATGGGCCCTGGATGATAATCAGAGTCCCTTGAAACACCGGATGTGGAGATTCCAGAGAGAATTTTTTTTAAATTCCAGCAAAACTGGATTTTCCAATTAGTCATGCTCAGGGCACCTTTGTTGGAGCCTTTCTGTGGGTCGCAGGGATTGATGTGAGTTTATAGACGGTCCTACAGATTTATATCACATGCCCGTGTGTGCCGCATTTGTAAAGGATCTGAGATCATTAGAGACAGTCTGAATTCCAACCCTCCCCGTGCCGTGACTTCAGCCAGCGGAAATGAGGAGCAGGACTGCAGAGGAAGGAGCCCATGTTCTTTCTAGACACTCGCTAGACCTGTTGTCGAGGAAATGAACAGTTAGATGAGTGCTTAATATTGGTTAAGAGCTTTTCATATAGCATCCCCTCGAACCCCCCCCCACTGCCACAGGTGAGGTGGCTGTGGTATCCTTGCTTTAAATGAAACCCGGGCAGGGTGAGCACTCCAGACCAGGCCGCTTAGGGAAGCGATGGGGCCGAGATCCGGACGCCAGCCCCTCGCCCCAGCGCCTGTGCTCTCGGTTGGGGAAAAGCCTTCAGAAAGCTTAGAAAGCGAAGTTATGTGTTTTAAAGTAAACAAGTGAGCTCTGACCTCAGACAGATACCTTCTGCCTATGTAGAAGAAACTTCCAAGACAGCCAGCCGCGACACGTTTCTCCGGGGACCACGCCACTGTGCTCATCTCCTCCAGGCGTGGGAGGGCTCGCCTCAACCCGCCACGGTTTCGTTTGCTACCCCGCCCTTCTCCCCAGCACTGGCCCTTGGCCTTCTCGCACAGCCACGTTCAAGACTTGGTCTGCACGTGGGAGCCCCATACCCCAGCTCCTGGGCCCGTCCCCCCATGGCAGAGAGACCCTCCTGGAACCTCGGCAAACTCCCTGGGGCTGGTGATGGTGACGGGTTTGGGACCAGCCAGTGTTTTTGACCATCGCAGACTCTTTCTTCCCCCTCCTCACAGGAATCTTGTGGCAGCTGGTTTAGGACACAAGCAAGGTGGTCTTCACCACGCTCTGCCACCAGATTCGTGTTGGTCCAGTTTGAATGTGTTCCAGCGGATTATTTTAACCATGCTTTGCTCACGTTCTGCAGCTTGTTCATTTTGAGAACAGAGACCTCTTCCCCCAGTGTGGGAACTAGCTGGAGCATGCTGGACGAGGATTTCTCTCTTCCCTTTGCCCCAGTTAAAGATTCCTCATTGAGAATGAGACTGATTTTCTGCAAAATAACTTCATTTTTTGAGAACATGGGCCCACCTCTCTTTTTTTGTCCTTTATGGGGCCTTAGAGGAGAATTAATTCAGACAGTTCTATTTTTCCTTCTTTTTTTTTTTTAACCAGTAAGATAAGGTCTGTTCGAATAAAAATTAAAAAGCAAAGCAAGAAAAATAAAAAAAGCCAGAGGCCCAGCTCAGCGGCGAGTGGGCTTGTCACGTATTAATTTTTCATTGCTGTGGAGAGTTGTACATACATAATCACTTGATTGCAGTGGGAGTTAGGGAGCTCCTATGGTGTCATTTGCATAAATCTTGTTAAGTCAATGGCAGTTAATGAAGTACAAATGAGCCCGGAGAAGGTGACATGCAAATCGTGGGTGGCAGATGGGAGGTCTGTTTGGGGGACGGCAGCTGTGTGCTCTCCTTTCTTTCTTTCCCTTTGGCATTTTTTAATCTCTATATTACAGTACAGATACACAGCCTCAGCCCTGGCCTCTCCCCTTCCCAGCAGACTCCCGGCCAGAGCCCGGCCTCCTCCCGCCCCCGCCGCGCTTGCAGAAACAGCCCCGATGGCCTCACCTCGCCTCCCGCTTCCTAACAAGCACTAGGATGTATTTGAATCTTTAAAATCTTGGTCAGCTTGTCTTGTCATGCTTCCACAACTGAGAGTACATATTTCACTTGGTGGGACAAATACGCGAGCTCCTCACTAAATACTTGGAGAGAGTATGTTGTCTCCTGCAAGACTTCGAAGAATGAAAACGAGTAAGAAATGCTGTCTTGGTCTCATTATGCTTCCGTGTGGGAGTCTGGTCTTCCCCCTTGAGACAGGCCAGCAGTGTTTAACCCCCCTTTGCACGTGTGCCGTGGGCCTGAGCGGGCAGGCCTCCCAGGGTTGGTCGGGAATGAGAGGTTCTGGAAGCGGACGGGTGCTCTCGGAGTCAGACTGTGGCAGAGACCCCCGCCCGTCAGTGCGGACCCCTCAGGCGGGCCCCCTCAGGCCGTCTCAGTCATCACTAGGGGTCCCTTGCCTGCTGGTTTGTGTTTTAAAGCTCCAACTGCCAACAGGCCTCCCTGTGAACTTTTAGAGATTTATGGGCAAAACATGTACTTCCTGCTTTCAGAAGTTTTTTTTTTTTATCTGTTTCATCAACTGGATGATATTTTGAGAGAAACGAGTCTCCGTGGACTTTGAAGAGAGGCAGGCCGAGGGGCATGTGTGGGCAGCCTGTCCTCTGTGGCCACTGTGGTGGTCACTCAGGAGTCCCCGGGCCGTTGGTTCTCACGGTGAGGGTCCAGCTGAGCACTTTGCCGGTGTGCGGGCCTGTGAGGTCGCGCTGCAGGCCGAGGTCAGCACACAGTTTTGGGATGGATGCCCCAGGGAGACAAGCAAAGGCGTGAAATGTCCTCAGAACACCTGTCTTGAAGTCTTACTTTTGACCTTGAACCTGGATGTCATGGTCCCCTCTGGAGGAGAGCACTTTCCAACAGCCACCTGAAGCTACCAGAAAACCATCCCCAAGCCCTCAGCCGAAGGGCCGACCTGCGTGGAACTTTCCGGTAGCACTCCGCCACTGGGCTTGGGATCGGATTGAAGCAGTGCGCAGTTTTGATTCTCAGCTGAGTAGAAAGAAGCAGTTGTCAATTAAGCGAAAGGCACCTCTGGAGTTAATCCCCTCGGCCAGCCTGCTGCAGGTCACCGACCCGTGTTGTCCGGTACCTGGGATCGGCCTGGGCGGGGGGTGGTGGATTGTGTGGCGCGGGCAGAATAAAAGCCACCTAATGACGCTCACTTTAACATCTCCAACTTGGACACCCGTCAACTGCCA